TGGTCTTCATGTTGCCCTCAAGTATCTCATTTCTTTTGCTCTGGATAAAAGCATTTCTCAAAAATAAATAAATAAATAAATAAATAAATAAATAAATAAAACGAACAAAAGAAAGAAAGAGAAAGAAAGAAAGAAAGAAAGAAAGAAAGAAAGAAAGAAAGAAAGAAAGAAAGAAAGAAAGGCATTTCTCTCCCCTGGACCTTGTTGCATGCATATTGAGAAATTTCTCTCCTTGAACTGTCAACTATTTTTTACATTTCAGAGTCCTTTCTGTTTGCTCCAGGCATTAAAGCCACCACACCCTTATTTCACATGTAATAATTGCCATAACATCCTCAAATGTCTACCTTTTTCCAAGAATGTCATTCTCACTGAAAAACTTCTATAGAAGTGGGATGTCCTGGTTAGAACCTGCAAGTGTCGATTTATAGGAAAAGTTTTATTCAGTTTAATTCAGTAAAGTAGCTCTTAATTAAAAATCAGTGCTGACAGAGTTTGGGTAGAATGAATAGTTTCCGTGGAGCCTAATTACCTATGGTTAAACTGACTTTTGGGGTTTTGAACTTGCAGCTCTGAAACAATCCCCCAGTCTGTGAAAAACCAGCCAAGATGGTACCCAGTGAGACCTTAGCCTCATTAAAGCTAAACCTCCTTAACTTACTGGACTCCTGTCTCCAGGGATTTTGAAGGGAGTATTCGGAAATTTTGTCAATTCTCGAACATCATACATAACAAAGTTATGTGTGGATCTGGGTTTTCTGAAATGAAACAAATCTCATGTCCCAAAATGTTGGGATTACAAACCTAGAATACAGATTGTCAGGGGAGTTCTGAGAAGTTCTGCAGTTGCCATCCATTTTCGTTGTACCTGGAACCCTAGAAACCTTCATTTTCTCATTCTTACTGGCATTGAGAAGGCAGGGGTGGAGGATGTCAATGCCATGGTTAGAAAGCTCTAGTTCAGAGACATAAACCTCATAAATACAGAAGTCAAGCTCAGACATTTCTGTCCATGTCCACCCCGTGGCAGTGATTCTTCTGTATTCTACGCTCATGTTAAGGGATTCAAAATTATACCTTCCTGGGCACCTGGGCGGCTCAGTTGGTTGAGCATCTGCCTTTAGCTCAGATTGTGATCCCAGGGTCCTGGGATTGAGCCCCTCAAAGGGTTCCCTGCTCAGCGGGGAGCCTGCTTCTCCCTCTCCCCTCTGCCCCTCCTCTCACTTGCCCTCTCTCTCTAAAATAAATTAAAAAAAAATCTACCTTCCTTGGTATTTGCCTCCTAGAAATACACTTCAGCCCAGCCTCAGAGCATTCTGGAGCAAGATACCTGAGTTCTAGGGCTCCTTTGGGTTTATTCGCCCTTTGGCTTTGGGAAAGTCACTCAAGGAGGTAGTTTTCATGCATGGAAAATAACCACCACCTCACAGGGCTGTGGGATGAGACAGCACGCTGAAAACTGTGGAGCACTAGGTCTGTGCATGTCAGTCTTTTTGTGTTCTCTGTATTCTTTCAAACTGAAAGGGCATTTTTGGTGAAACATTTGAAGCCATTAGAGGTGACTGTCAATTAAAAAAAAGGTGGATTTGTAACATTGCAAATAGATCCTTCTAAAGATGGTCAGCCCATCTTCCTCTACTGGCCCAAGTAAACTTAGAAGGGAAAATGGACAGAACTATTTCCTAATAGTAGTAATATATGGAGGAAGGAGAAGGAACAGAAGGAGAAGCCCCGGTAGACGCTCTGTGGCTTGTCTGCATATCATATTGGATACCCGGCGATTATTTGGTTAATTTGATGGTTGTAGACAGACATAAGATAATTACAAGGAGAAACATTAACTCTGGAACTAGATGATTTGCCCAGATTGACTGTCTAGAATGATCTAATTAACAAGCTAACCAGCAGATCTTTATTTCACTTGAGGCTATGGAGAGTTACAGCTGGTTTTATATAACTGGAAGCAATGTTTAAAAGTATATCATATATTTCTGGTTTAGCACTAAAGGAGCTTTTTTTTTTTTTTGAGTTTTTTGTTCTGTTTCATTATTTGTTCTTTTGTTTTTAGAAAGTTTTATTTAAAAAAAAAAACACATCAAATTCCTAGGCCCTTCATTGTATTTCCAGTTGAGATGTATAGTTTTGATGTTGCCCAGGCATTTAGTTATGGGTTATTTAACACCACCACATATTTTAAATTCCCCTTCTCCTCCATTTCATTAGTGATGAGAAGAAGATTACAGCCTACAATCATAGTCTTTATAAAAAGGAAAAAAGGAAATTGGTTGGTTCTTCTCTATTTATTCATCTTCTCTGACTTCCTAAATTTCCCCAATTAGTTTTTGGGTTGTGTGCCTGCCAGGGCAGTTAGCATTCTCTTGATGTGGGAGTCCATTTCCTGCTCACTGGCCTTCGAGCTGGAGAGCCACATTACTTTCTTTCTTTCTTTTTTTTTTTTTCATTACTTTCTTTAAATCAAACCTCTCAGTGCAGTCCAGCTAAGAGTTGGAGTAATAGCACAGGCCTGACTTACATTCAACTTAGATTCACGGCCACTACAGGTTCTCTGATGTTAAGAAGGCGGCCTGTTATTGTAAGGGTTGCAGAAGGCGCGGTGGAGAACAGCAGCATAAAGTAACTCTGCAGTGTATTGTCTCAGGGCAGAAAGGCCTCAAACCTAACAGCACAACCAAAGAATGAAGAGAAAGTGCTTTTTGTCACTCTGGAGAATTCTTTGCCAAAACTCCCCTCTACTTGGAAAGGAGGAAGCGCTTTTACAAGGTCGAAAAGACCAAGGAAATATGGCTCCATTCCCATGGTGGGACCTGCTATGTTTTGGTGGGTACAAAAGGGCACTTGTGCACGTTAACCCAATTATAGGAAAGAGGCATTTACTGGCAAAAGTGTCACATGCCTAGAAAAGGCATATGGCCTTCCTTTCTCCCCAGACATTAAAAAAATGACAGTTTGGTGGAGGGGAATTGGTTCATTTTGACAGGACAAGGGTAGCAGCATTCTAATTTCCATTGTATTCTTACTTGAAATTATCTTCCCTTAATAATAAAAGTCTTCCCAGGACAATGAGTACTGAATAAGATAGGCATTAGGAAGATTGTAGATATCAGATTGTGGGGAGAAATGGGATTTATTTATTTATTTTTTTAGAAAGATTTTATTTATTTATTCATGAGAGACACACAGAGAGAAGCAGAGACATAGGCAGAGGGAGGAGCAGGCTCCCTGGCAAGGACTCAATCCCAGGACCCCGGGGTTCACGACCTGAGCTGAAGGCAGATGCTCAATCAGTGAACCACGCAGGTGCTCTGAGATCTGGGATTTAAATTAAAATTCAGGTCATTAAAAAAGACCAATGATGCGTTTCACTTAAATCAATCAGCTTTATATTGGTTTTTTTCCCCTAACACAGTTGTTCTCAGATCTTACCTACATCACTGTCATCTGGAGGCTGAGTCCCACCCCGCACTTTCTGTTTTAATGGGCTGGGGGTGGGGGTGGAGTCGGAGCATTGCAGTCCTGACAGATAGTGTTGCTGATGCTGCTGGTTTGGGAACCACACTACAGGTGGAGCAGGGCCAGTTGAAATGTCTAAAACCCTGCCCTGACTTTTATCACATCTGATACAAAGCAAAAGTTGAATTTTTGGCCAGCTGCTTGCTAGTTGGACTTAAACTGGTATGTGTTGCTCACGCTGATGGACTGGTTTCCAGTTGTTTAGGACGATGCCAGAGGAGTGGTTCTTTTATACACCCCAGCGAAGAGGTATGTAAGAGAAACGTATAGGGTTTTGAGGATGGTAAAGGTACACACAGGCACACAAGTTCACATGGACCTTATGCAATGGAATTACTTTCCTTGCCCTAATTTTCCCTTCATAATTCTGAATTATTTGAATCTACAAATTATTTATAAGAAGGGTTGGATTTGAGAATATTATATTCTGTGCTGCTCTGAGGATAACCTTCTTAAATGCTTCTTCAGGAAACAAAACAGCTCTGTACCAGGTCTCAAGAATTTGGGGACTTTTGCTTTTGACTAACACAGGCAGGGAACTTGCCAGGTTCCAGCCTTACATGAATGCAAACCATAGTAATATCCTAGGATGATTGGGGCCAATCTGTTCTTTCTTTCTAAAGATTTTATTTATTTATTCATGAGAGCCAGAGAGAGAGAGGCAGAGACAAAGGCAGAGGGAGAAGCAGGCTCCATGCAGGGAGCCCAATGCGGGACTCGATCCTGGGACCCCGGGATCACGCCCTGGACTGAAGGGAGATGCTCAACTGCTGAGTCACCCAGGAGCCCCTGCTCCTCTTTACAGATAAGTAGAGATAAGTGTTCAAAGGAGGTGATTGGTGAGCTACGCACTCTAATGTGGCAACTGGGGATGGGCCTGGGTCAGCGGGGAGAAGTTCAGGACAAAGGGCCAATGTGTCCTGTTGTCCTGCTTGTGCCTTTGAGCCCTGGCATCTGGAGGCAGGGATTCAGGCTCTGAGAGGAGGACATCACTGGATCTGGCGGCTGAACTGTGAAACCGCCATCCCTCAGACTTCTTGGGAGGCCAGCCAACTTGCTGTCTGCTGTTGAGTGTGGGCGAGGAAGTAGGCGGGGAGAACTGGGTGATGAGAGAGTAGGAGGACAGAGAGAAACTGTGAAGAGTGGAAAATTTGTTGAAGGGGGTGAGGAAAAAGCTGGTGAGGCACAAGAACCCCAATTTAAAACACACAATTTAAGGGACACCGCCATCTCCAGCAGATCACGGCCTTCATGTCTGTTGTCACTTAATCCTTGCAGGCTTGTGCTAGTCACAGGCCCCTTGGCCCCAGATGTAGCCCCGCTGTGAGCCACACGAGATCCAATTCGTAGGGCAGGTGTCCTGGGCTGTGTGTGGATGGTGTGCTTGGTAGAAGGCATTGGTAGGATTGAAAGGTGAGGGAAGAAGAATCCCAGAGAATTCCCCTCCTTCACCCCCATCTCTGCCTCAGGTGGCCGTCCTGGCAGCAGCTACCAGACAAGCCCTCAGAGACCCGGCTTCCTCAGATGACCTTGGACTTCCAGCATTTCATCTCCTCTCTTGTCTTCCACCCCAGGGTAGGTAATGGTTTCCTCTCTCAGCTCCGCCTTCATCTGTAGAAAGGATTCCTCGAATTACACCCTATTGTAAATACTTAAGAGTAGTTCATTTCATTGGTTAGATCCTGACTGATACAGGTTAGAATTCTTATTCCTAGTGAGCAGAGGAGTCAACCCAAGCCTGTGTAGGTTAACTTGTTCAAGGTCATCACAACTAGAAAAGGATGAAATTGACATTCAGAACACAAGACAGCAGAGCGCTCACACTGTTAACCCAATGCTGTGTGGCCTCTCAGAGTTTGGATGAATCCAGGAAAAAGAAGAAAAGAAATATTTTCATGTATGAAACAGTGGTAATGGTGTGAAAATGTTGCTTTGACCTCAAGCAATTAGGTGATCTCTATGGTAGAGTAGGCGTGTGTGCCCTGCGTCCTAAATCTTGGTGAATTAATTCAACTCAGGCACTGATGCTAGTCTTTTATTACAATTCCTCGTTTTTTTGATCACGAGGGGTTACTTATTTCCACTCATCTAGCTGTAGTTTGTGAAAATGTGGCCTGAGCCTTGCTTTGGAACTCAGGTTGCTATAGAAACCTTTGACTGGAGGTGGACGGATCACGGAGGTTTATTAATGAGAATTTCCCCGTTCTACCTCTGGGCTTAGTCTGTGTGAAAATCTAAGAAAGGCTCATTAGTTTTTATATTAGTCAGGGTTCTCCAGAGAATCCAAACCAATAGGATGTACATAGGTAAAGAGATTTATCTTAAGGAATTAGCTCATGTGACTGTGACAATCGGCAAGCTAAAGACCCAGGAGAGCGGTGGTGTTTCCAGTTCGAATGCCAACAGGCTTGAGATCAGAAAGAGTAGATGTTTTAGTCTAAGTCCAAAGGCAGGAAAAAATCATATCTCATCTTAAGGTAGTTGGGCCAGAGTTCCTCCTTACTTGGGGGAGGGTCAGCCTTTTGGTTTTGTTCAGGTCCTCAACAGATTTCATGAGGCCCACCTGTATTAGGAAGGCCAATAGTCCACAGATTCAAATGTTAATCTCATCCAGAAGTACCCTCCCAGACACACCCAGCATAATACATGACCAAAATGTCTGGGCATCCTGTGGCTTAGTCAAGTTGACAAGTAAAATTAACAATTGCAGTTTTCATTATCGAAGGCTAACATTTCAGCCTAATTGTTTGGTGATCAAAGCTGATGATTCTGTCTCCAATCAGCCCTACAGAATGCTGATCTTCCCACATCAGAGGTGAGTGTATCCTTGAGTTGATTGCTGTCTGGCTCCTTCCACAGAAATTTGTCTTGAATTGAATGCTACTAGGGTGTCAACTAATATTTGATAAAGGGCAGTGGTCCTCAAAGAGTGGCCTCGGAGCACCAGCATCAGTATCACTTAGGAAATTGTTAGAAATGTAAACTCTTGGGCCCCACCTCAGACATACTGAATTGGAAACTGAAGGTAGGACCCAAAAATCGGTGTTTGATGAGCCCTCCCAGGTGATTCCGGCGCATAGTCCAGTGGTCTATCCTACAGAAGTGTTTCTTAAACTGAGAGCCATGGGTCTGCAAACGTGTGCTCGGGGACATGAGATCTTTCTAAAAGAATGAGAAATGAAATGTTTCGTTTTGACAAAAATCCAGAAAAGCTAATATAAATATACTCTAAGTATCCTAAATAATCAGCTTGAAAACAAATACTGCCATACTATTTCTTTGTCTGTAATTTGTGTTTGTGTTAGTTTTTGTGTGGGTATAGAGTAGAATTCCTTTGCTACAGGGTCATGAGATGCATTTGTGCCAAGTGAAGACTGGGTAAATTGGTAAACTGTTGTGGGAGTTTGAATCTAGAAGGGTGATGGGGAATTGAGGTGTCACAGTATGACACTATATGCACGTCAGACATGTGGGACCTCAGTGGTCACTGTGATTCAGTTTTAGCAAAGAGCATCACCTTCCACATTAATTTCATGTTGGTAACTTGAATTTCATTGGTTTTGTAGGTTTGTGTTAACTTGTAAGCTTGTTTTGGCCTTATAGTTGTTTGTATATATAAACCCAAGAACCTTAAGCTGAAATTTATATTTGCATATATCTAAGTGACATAATGAAAATAATTTATATTAACTTTGGACCTATTCCAACTTCCTCCTTTTAAAAGGAATTTGTGTTTTTGTATCAGTAAGGATAGGTAAACTTATACAACAATAATAAAAAAAAAACAACCCTCGGTTACAGAACTCAAAAGAAGTTGAGGGGTTTTGCTAATTTGAGGTCATTCAGGGAACCAGGCTAGCTGAGGCTTCATTTTGACCTTAGCAGGCTTAAGATTTTTTAAATTAAGATCTACCGTCACATTTTGCCATTTAAAAGGGTACAATTCGGTGATTTTTTAAAGTATATTCATACAGTTGTGTAATACTTATTGCCTAATTTATCATCTCTACCTAATTTTAGAATATTTTCAGCACCCTAAAAAGAAATTCTGTACCTACCGGCAGTCACTTCCCATCTTCCCCACATACCAGTCCTGGCAACCACTAATCTACTGTCTCTTCTCTATGGATTGCCCTCGTTTGGACATTCCACATAAATAGAATCACAAAATATGTAGCCTTATGTGTCTGGCTTCTTTCATTCAGTATATTTTCAAGGCTCATTCATGTTGTAGCATGTACCAAAAACCCCATTCCTTTTTATGGCTGAATAATATTCCATAGTATAGATATATTACATTTTGTTTATCCATTCACCAATTTTTAAAAAGGTTTTATTTATTTATTCATGAGAGACACAGAGAGAGAGGTAGAGACACAGGCAGAGGGAGAAGCAGGCTCCTCGTAGGGAGACCAGTGTGGAACGCGATCCCAGAACCCTGGGATCAAGACCTGAGCCAAAGGCAGAAGCTCAACCACAGAGGCCACCCAGGTGCCCTCCATTCATCAATTGATGGACATTTGGGTTGTCTTTAACTTTGGGCTATTGTGAATAATGTTGCTATGAACATTCATGTGTAAGTTTTGTGTAAATATAGATTTTTAATTCTCTTGCCTATATACCTAGGTGTGAAATTGCTGAGTTGTATATAACTCTATGTTTATGTTTTATTTTTTATTTTTTTAAAAGATTTTATTTATTTATTCATGAGAGACACAGACACAGAGAGAGAGATAGAGAGAGACACAGGCAGAGGGAGAAGCAGGCTCCATGCAGGGAGCCTGACGTGGGACTCAGTCCCAGGTCTCCAGGATCACACCCTGGGCTGAAGGTGGTGCTAAACCACTGCGCCACTGGGTCTGCCCGTAACTCTATGTTTAACTTTTTGAGGAGCTGCCAGACTGTTTGCCACAGTGGCTGCACCATTTTACATTCCTATCAGCAGTGCACAAAGGTTCCAATTTCTGTACAACCTCTTCAAATGTTATTGTCTTTCTTTTTGACGTAGGAAGCAGCTTTTTAAAAAAGATTTTATTTATTTATTTGAGAGAGAGAGAGAGAGAGAGAGAGAGAGAGAGACAGCACAAGCAGGAGGGGCAGGGCAGACAAAGAGGAAGAATCTCAAGCAGACTCCATGCTGTGAGTGGAACCCTACACGGAGCTCCATCCCAGGCCCCTAAGATCATGACCTGAGCTGAAACCAAGAGTCAGATGCTTGACCAACTGCGCCACCCAGGCGCCCCTGTAGGAAGCAGTTTTGATTTGTGATGACTAATGATGTTGAGCATCTTTTCATGTGCTTCTTGGCCATCCCTATTTCTCCTTTGGAGAAATGTCTACTTTTAAACTGGGTTGTCTTTTTAATGTTCAGCTATAACAGTTCTTTATATATTCTGGACATGAGGTCCTTATCAGATATGTGATTGAACATTTCCTCCCATTTTGTGGGTTGTCTTACCACTTTCTGGGTAGTGTTCTTTGATGCACAATAGTTTTTAAATTTTTTGAAGTCTAATTTATCTATTTTTTCTTTGATTGCTTGTGCTTTAGGCGTCACATCTAAGAATCTGTTGTTGATCACCTTTAATGACCACAGCAGGATGATACTGTGGCAAAATGTGCCATGGTATTTGAAGCATCTACCTGAAACTTCTTACTGAAGTTCACATTTCATAGGTTACAGAATATCAGATGGTTTTACTAATCTTAGGAGACAGAGAAGTGCAAACTTACAGTAAGTTTGAAAAGTGGGGAAAATAAGAAATAGTTGTTAAACAGCACTCGTGCTCACCGTGATTGAACTCATACTTGAGAAACACCCAACTTGGGATCACCAAAAACAACATATATGGTATATTTTAGAACCAAAAGACCCATCTTTACTGAAATACAACCGTATCTTATGTCCTTGCCTTTTCACTTGAAAAATTTTACATCTTCAACAAGTTTATGCCAAAGTATATTGTTCGTTATGTTAGATGGTGGCTTTTACGTAAGGAAATGCATGGTAATTCTTCTTAGGATTTAGTAACAGGAAGACATTATTTATAGATGAACCGCTCCCTTTTATTTTGTAATGGAAATATTTTTACTTTTGTTGCTAGGAAGCTCAGAGCTGAAATTAACGACTGCCTTATATCCTCTTAGTGTAGCTAGTATTCCCTTGTTTCAAATATTAAGATTTTTTTCCTCTAAGTATTTATTTTACCTGTTCTGTGCCATTTGTGTGCATGTGTGTGTATTTATGTATGTATGTGAATGACCTAATTTTTTAATTCTTTGCCATACAGTTAGATAAATTACAAATAAATTACAGACATTATTATATTTTTCAATACAGTTCTTGATAATACAGTTCTTAATGTGCAGTTCAATACATTATAGGGGAATGTTATGCTTAATTTTCAAGTTTTCCAGAGCATTCTGCTATGTTCGTGCATAAAAAACAAAATGCATTAAAAGTATAGTGAGTTAAGACATGGAATTGGTGCAACATGAGTAAGGGGTTGAAAAAATGGGTAAAGTCACCTTTTACTCTTAGCGTTGATGCTGGTAATTACATGATACTCTCAATT